TCGTTCACTGCCCCAATGTTAAGGTTCAACATACGAGAGTTCGCGACCTTATCAAAGTTTCTGTCGCTAATTAATATTAACGTGATGCAATCCGAAGCGATGAGTAATGAATATGTCCCTCTAGCGTGACGACTTATCAATCATACATGTTACGAGACGATTGTACCATTATTCGGTGCTAACTAGTATGGTTACGGAGAAGCATGTTGTCGACGACAGACGAGATTAATCTTACTGATTGCAGTCTTGACACAGACACGCACATATGTACATGGGACACTTGTAAAGTTTCTATCACGATCGTTATATTCTCTGTTTGCTTACGTAAAATGTGAAAGGCATTGTGACTCGTTTGCGATCATTGATAGTTTGTTTGGTGAGTGTGCTGTTATGAGTGGGATTAGTAAATGAAAAGATGATTTAACGTGGCGATTTTTATGATTGTAAATATTGACATCTTTTGACGCCGATTTGTATTTTTTTTTTTAATATTAATATAGAGTGGAATAGATACACCATTGGGGATTAAATGTTTTTAATCTTTCGTTTCTAAGTTTTAATTAATTACGTTTCAGAGTTACTCGAATGAACTATATCTTAAAGAATAAAATTCGAGTTTGATTATGCGTTCGTAAAAATTGGATTAAATTTGAGTTATTGCCACTTGAAGACACTTCGTTACAATAATCATTGTAAATAAAATTAAGAAGTTAAGTAAAACTAGGAACATTATATTTGTCTACGATTTTTTACATTTCTGCGAAATGCACATGTTTCATTGCTAACGAAATAATTAAGTTTATTATAAGATATGAAGGTAAATACGCTTCGTATTAGCAAGTTAATTTTCAAAAGCTGAATGTAGATATTATTATTGGAACGTCATAAATACCCGATACAACAAGTACATACCTACGTACACAAAGATTATGAAATGGCACACACTTGTGTATTCATGAGTTTTTAATTGCCTTCTACGAGTTTACAAATTATAAAATTTTATAATTACAAATTACACACTCGAATGATAGATTATTATTTAAATATTTAAATACATATAATAATATTTCGCTTTATTCGATAAATATTATGTTCAGATAAACTCTCCGTTTTGTTCATTTTTCATATCTTTCTTGTTATCTTGTTAAAAAATAATGAAAAATGGGGTTTGTTATAAATTCGTGATTTAGTTAACGATGTTCAAGGACGTTTAATCTGAAGGATCAGAAGGAAAATCACGATCGTTACGAAACGGAAATCTAACGACGTGAGAAAATTTAATGCCGCAGATTGTCTGAAATCAGCCATAATCGCATTGTTACTTACTGAGCGATTCTTAGATCCTTTAGTTCTGTTTGTTTTGCCGATGAAACCCGTATAACATAATCTGTTACCGATACTAGGTAATAAATGAACAATAAGGAAGTGAAACTGGTAAATTCCATGAAGGAATACATTATCAGTTTGGAAAAGATAGGTGATCAAGATAAATCACGATCATTATGTATTAGTATGGCAAAATGAAGACGTTCTCAGAATGTTAAATCTCTCAGTTTGAATTTTATTTACGATAGTTATATTATCTAAACTATATATTTGTACAATATTACAGTAAATAATTAATAACAGATTTCATGTTAATAAAATGATTAAAAATATTAAATTTAGGTTTAATATTTTAAGCATTTAAAATAGATGGAACAGAAAACTGTGATAGGCTTTGATCTTTGATAAGTGTCGTTTTCGAAAAAAGAGTATTAATAAATGTAAAGCATTTTAAAAATGAAAATTTTCCATTAGCAAATTTCTCGTCTCTTCTAGTCCGAAATTAAAATTGAACGAACTGTTTTTGGGTAATATTATGGAATCCTCTTTAGTTACGTGTTTATAATACATAACAGAAACGTATCCATTATTCAAGATCTCTCGTCCTGCTGTTATGGAAACGAGAAGCGAACACAGATTTCCCTCAGTCCGACCTTTACATAGTGAAAGCATTTTCATACAACAAAGTAAAGATAAAAAATTTTCCTTCGACGAGGCAATGCGATTCCAGTCACGTTGCTTAATGATCTATCAAGGTAGACAGGCTTCTTGAGGAACCAATGTAATTACGTGACTACGATCATAATTTTTCTCTCTCCCCAGGTCTCTGTACCCATAAACAATATTGTGATCCCGTTTGTTATTTAATATAATTACTTATATCTAGTTACATTTAGTTATTAAATATTAGCATGATTTACTATATGTAATTCAGTAAATCGGTACAAGATCTAAAGAAAATATTTCTTACGTATGATTTTGACGAACTTTGTGTAAAAATCTATAAAACTAAAAGTTGCTTAGTTTATATACAGATAAAGAAAAGTATCGTTTATATCGTCGAGATATCACATTTATATCATTTTAAAAATAAAAATTCTTCATCAAAGCGAAGAACATTTTCATAAAAAATTACGAACAGAATATCTCGATTCTACAATCTACTGTAAACAAGATAAGTATCGATAATGAATAAATCTTAACATTGAATTTTATTCAAAAAGTTACAGTGATATCAAATAATCCGTAATGATATTTATTACTTCAATCATATCGGTCAGCTACTACCTACCTACCGCGTAATACTCGATCGATTTTCAAACGCAACCCCGCCCCCACCCAAACCCCAAATGAAGTTTCCAGTGTAATTCTGTTATTCTTGAATCTTCGGCTTGTTTTTCATTTTTTAGCTCACTTTAAAATTTCTTCTGGCTTCAATTGTGCTACGATTTAAAGTTTTCCGTGTATACGTTTAGAACGTTACTGCGTGCGGAAATAGTACAGAGGGCCTCTAATTATATCGTCTGTAATATTATTTATAGACTTTGAACCATATAGTACGTAAGTACGTAATTGTATATCTATCGTGGTTCATTGTATCCTTCTCTGTTGCATGAACCAGCGGTTAGGAGCGATACTAAATCAAGTGGGAATGAAACTCGTTGAAACAACGCTGGACATGGTAACGGATCCATGACTGTGCTTCTGTTATTATCAACGCCAGTAACGGTTAAACCGATTGCATACCTTGTGTAAGTTGGAAGTTACGTACATAACTTATACACACCCGTTGTGTGTTTCGCGATCCCATATTCCTTTTAATTTGAATTTTATGAAACTTTTTGTTCGATAATTGATGTGCCATATTACATCCGTCACATTCAATGTTATATGGTGTAATTTCTTCAGTTGTGGTGTTATATAAGTTACGAGGTCATTCCTGTATCTGAACATGTGTTTGGAATGTTAGTGTGTATCTTTCTCTTCGTATGTACATAGTGAGTAGAGACTGTCTGTCTTTCGCTAGAAGAATATTCTGCATATAGTTATTTACTGTTCTTGATATTTGATTTTGGAAATCTAATTTTCGCTTTGCTTGTATCTTCGAGCGTAAGGTGAAATTTGTACAGACATATCTAGTAATTTGTTAATCGTACTGTTCGAAATTATTGTGTGTGTGAATATTTCGGTGAATATAAACTACGAAAACCTGTCCTTGATTTTTTATGGTAACAAAGCAGTCTTCTCAGAAGAAACAGTATTCATAAATAAGTCAATTCGCAAAAAGCTAATTCTACGAATCTTGTTAGAAGAAACAGGTTAACGAAACTACATGTCCCTTCAGGAAAGGTCTAATTTATAGAGGTAGCTTGCAAGAAAAAGCCAATCTCACAAAAAGGTTGAGCATTCTTAATTAATCCTCTTTAGAATTCAATTACATTTATGCCTTTTGTAAATATTAATTCTAAAATAACGATGCTAACATTTCTAAACTACAGAATATCAACAAATAACATAACGCAATTCCCCATTTCAATTAAATATGAAAAATATACTAGAGTCGATTCAAGATCAAAACCGGTAAAACAAACGACAAATTTATCTGAAAAATCCACTGAATTCGTTTTAATACATCCGTTATTTAAATTGCAAAAATCAGTTGTGTTTCAACGTCAGTCTTTAACACCTTCCTTATATCGCAATTTTAGTACGCGACAAGACGACAATGCGATACAATTCGTTTCAACACCATTGAAATGTATGGCTGGCTTCGGACGACCGGTTTCCGGCGTGGCGCCACTATGCTTTGGAGAAACAAGGAAATACATATGTATGCATCTTGCTTTTTGTGAGACAGAAGTACTCTGCGTCTCTGTTCTACCAACGTCGCCGCTGTTGCGTCGATTTGCCGCAAACCTAAATGGAGTTCGATCAATGGCAAAACGAGCACGTGGTCCTCGATGTTGGCGATCGGAAAATCGAGTTTTCCAAACTATTTCTAGTTTCGCCGGTTCCACTGTCAATCAATGTTTCTTCCTTTCGTTCCGTTTCTCTTCGATTCTCTCCTTTTTTATTGGCAAACACGTGTCACCGAGTATCGTGTTCGTCTTCGCTAAGCAAGCTTCTATATCAGCGATACGCGAGCCGGTTTCCCCTTCATATTTGTACAAGACTTCGTGAACATCGGACGTTTTTCTCCTCTCTTTTCGAATCCTATCGTTGTTTAACTAACAATTCTATTTCTTTAAATGGAAATGTGGTCGTGTCTCCATTATATTTTCAATTAGCCAGGGAATTTAGGTTTATTGCCGTGGAAACTTGATCGGTCGTTTACGTAAGGATCTGCGATTCTGCTTCATCTTCGAGGAAAATTTCATCGAATACAATCGTTTCACTCATTGATTGGATCAGTCGAAAGGGAGATTCCGTGACTGCCTTGTATAAATATTGATCATAGTGTCTCTTGAAGGGAAGCTGTACCAATCCTGTTGATTTAACTACTGATCCTACTTTATCCTCGAGAAAAATTACTTACTTTGATTGTTTGACCATTAATTTTAGCGTTTCTCCGAGGGAAACAGCGTTGATCGCTCGAGTCTGCTCCTTTCTCAAGGTAAATTGTATTTACTATTTACTCGATCAGGTATTTTCTTTTCTTTTCCCGGAGAAACCTTGTTTCTCGCCTGTTTGACCATCCGTGCTATTTCTTCTTTGAGATAAACTACAACGATTATTCGTGTAACCAACAAATCTAATTTTTCTTTTTTTACAAAGGAAATGTGTTTAACGAAATCTCGCTTATTTAGTCATTGATTCCGCTTCCTTTTCCAAATAAATCGTCAATCATTCGCTCGATTGCCAATTCTAATTTTGCTTCGAAGCAAACTGCGTTGATTATTCGTATAACCTTTTTAATAGAAACTGTTTTTCGCCTATTTTATCGCCAATTTCCTTTTCAAAATAACATGTATTAATTATTCCTTTAATCGCAGATTTTATTTTATTTTATTTCTATTTCTATTTCGTTTTATCATCGATTTTCCGCCGTCTTCAAAGAAACTCACGTGAATTACTTTAGTTGCTTTTTCAAACTAATTTTATTTCTTTAATTTTAAATTAAAAAGTAGCAACGAAAATGCTACAATAACGGAAAAATTCTTCGGTTATCTCCACAAAGAACACGAAGGTATCGAACTTAGTGTATTAAGACATTTTGTTCGTTGGAAGTTAGTCGACGATACATTTGACATGATTTAATGTGACATCGAGAGAGAAAAATGGTTTGATCGAGGGTGAACTTAATTGCTAATTTCGTAACTTGCTGTTAATCGATCTGACAGTGATATTAGTGGATGTGGTTGGTAGTGCCTGATTAATCGTGATCGATATTTTGAACAAAGAGCAACGAGAAACGATAAGTTTGGAGTTTCACTTTGACGTCGTGAGACTATCGTTAATTAGACATGGAAGAATCGTTTGGTGACAGGTAAGGGTTTCAACTTTTGTATTCATTTTCTTCTATAGACTGAATTTAATTTTTCGCTTTGATAATCGTTTATAAAAGAGAAGCGATAATTATTAGTTCTACCTAAGAATGTTACTAATAAATTAGGAAAAAGAAATTTCGATTGGATTCTTGATAATGAGTGAAAATTAATTTAAAAGATTATATTTGGAATTTTGAGAATCGATCGAGTCCTCAGTTTCAGTGCAATGTAACGTTATCAGTCGCGTGAGTTTGGCTCATATGTAATTTATGTGCAAGCTAAATGTTTCCAAAAATTGTAGCATATTGATTTCTCAAAGTCCTGTATCAAATGTCTTGTAATTATGAGCAATTGTTTCGTTTGGACGATCAAGGGTAATATACTCTATTTTTAATTTTAAAAATGCCGCCATTTGTGTAGACGTACACACGCAAGTATTTACTATGGCTCGTAGACACGAACGTTTCTCGTGTCGTATTTTCCAAACAGGTCAGTTATTTCGAGCACTCGACCACTTTCCCGCTCCTGACAATGACATTAGTCATTCTAATCGATGTCTCGAAATCGATGGTTCTTTTGTCAGTTATTTCGTTTCCGTGTTTACTCCATATGATTAATATTGTTTCACGTATTCGCTTAAATTTAGTTGGCAAATGATTAATTTCCCTGAATCCATTTTCAAGTAAATATATCAGTTTAACCTTTTGCTCTATCTGATACGAAAACGAACAATTTGATATAAAAATTTTGCGAAAGATCGATATATTATTTTACTTTTAACTTGGAAATCGTTCTTTTAATTTTTCAATATCTAATTAACCACCTCAGTCCCTAAGACCGTCTGTTTTAATGAATGGTAAATAATCAAATAATTGCGTTGTTACATCAGAAGTACCATCTTCTTATATCCGTGATATTATTGTTTCAACCTTCAATTATTCATTTATTCTTAGCCTTTGATGGCTTAAAATTTTCTCGGTTATTTTCCAATAGAGTTCAATATATTGATCGAAAACTTAGTTTAGTTAAGCGCTGTAACCGGAAGTCATCCTTAAGTCGCCGGTAAGAGGATTACGAGTAACAAACAAACAATATTAAACAGAAAATTATTCCATTTAATTTTTCTCCTGCATTTAATTAAATTTGACAGAGTTAACAAACTTTCCTTCGGTACTTCTATCTCATTAGCAAATCTATAATATCCAAACGATAACTCGAACACCATTAACTAGCACTCGAGGCTATTTCTCGCGTCGAAACTTTCCTCAGACATGTAGATATCACGTCGACATCGCCGCGTATACCGAATCAGCCCTTTTTAAAGATGATCTCGCGAGCGTGGTTCGTATGCAATTCAATTTGAACGAGTCGCGTGTCACGATTCACTTGACTCCCGGCACAGTAATTGGCCGGCACTCGAACAAACACTTACACTTAATTTAACGTTTAACCGAATCGAAAACAAAGCGAACAGTTGCCGGACTTCGCTCGTTCTTTCAGTTCATTTCCGAATGTTTTTCGATCTGCACATCTGGTCTCCTCTTTCATCTCCGTTACTTTTCAAAATCTAAAATCATAAGTGGGACTTTGCTGCTCAAACTATGGAAGGGAGAAACGCGAATGACGGGTAAGATTGTTCCTGCGTTCTGTCAGTAAATAATTTCCTGTTTGTGGGAGAGGAAAGGAGCATTGTGATTGAAATCACAGAATGTGAAACATCAAAGGAACTACCGAATGACATTTATTTCAAAGACTCGAACTTTGTTATATGACTTTTATACTGCTACGCCTGGAAATCAAGGATGGATTCTGTTTCAGCGAAATGAAGGACGAGAAGAGTAACTCTATATTGCCCACTGAAACGAGTCGATTGAGACCAAGATTGGAAAGTTTCGATGATGTTCTGCCGTATGTCGGTGACTACGGGAGATATCAATGTCTGTTGTTATTGTCGTTACTACCTTATGGCGCGACGTACGCGTTTCTGTATTTCTCGCAATTTTTCATTACGATTATTCCCACGGAACACTGGTGCAGAATAGACGAATTAGTAAACTCGAATTTCACCGAAGAAGAGAGGTAAGTGTGTATAATGAAGGAAAGAAAGAAAAGGAGATATACGTAGCAACGAAAATTCCTTTAAAATTTGAACGATATTTTTGATTGTTCGTAGAAAGTGACTTTAAAATATTGTGAAAAATATGCGAGATATCGCGATTTCTGGAATTTCCCGAATTTTCGAACATTTCGAAAATTATTAGAAAATATTGTAGAAAAATTTCACGATAAGATACAAGATATTTTTGGATTACTCTGTCTGGACTTTGGTTCTTATTTTAATAATTAAAATGATCAATCGTCTATCGTATGGGATGTTTAGGATTAAAATAGCGATTCCAGCGACGAACGTTTATCCGTATTACGAACAATGTCAACGGAAGGACGTAAACTTCACGGAGCTGTTGAAGAGCGATAAGAGCCTAAGCTCGTCGAATTTCCAAACAAACGAAACGATAAAATGTACTCGATGGGAGTACAATTTTACGCAGATTCCATATCCTAGTATAGGAACTGAGGTGAAGTATTTACATCGTTGTCTGAATCGCATGCTTCGAAATTCTTACACTTTTGCTGCGTTCTTTGGGTCATTTCCGATCTAATCTAACCTTGTTATAGTAAATTTCTTAAGTTTAAAGAAAGTATAAGACTTTCATTCATCGAACTGCGAGCAGAATCGAGATATAAAAATTCGAAGACCGCAGCAGGATTAAAATTATATTTTGAAAAATACGAATCTGGTTTTTCGCTGACTAACTCTTAAACTTGGTGATTAGCTAGATTGGGTATGCGACCGAGAGTACCTCGTATCAACGGCGCAGTCCATCTTCTTCTGTGGATCCATCATCGGTGGTTTCCTAGTCGGTTGGATCGCCGATCACAAGGGTCGTATCCCAGCTTTAATGTTCTGCAATGGTATCGCTCTTTTTGCCTCCATTTTCACTGCCAGCGCAAATAGTTTTTGGTCATTCGCCGTCTGTAGATTTCTCACTGGACTGGCGTTCGATAACTGTATCAACATTCCTCTGATTATCGGTAAGCCTTCTACGAAGTAGAAAGTGCGAGAGGTTCGATCGATAAGCCAATGTTTCAGTTACGCGAAAGATAACGTTAGTATGAAGTCAATGTTTCTATTACGTGAAAGATAATGTTGCGTGAAAAATTTTTGACGTTGCTGTAATCGATTGAACTATACGGTTCGAGTTCTTGATTCAAGAGCTTTTGCCACCACCAGAGATGAATATATTGATTTTGTTATTGTTAAAGATCGTTTCATCGATTTTCATGTCGTCGAGGATAGTTATATCTTGATATTCTTAAATCGAGTTATACAAGGTGGTTGGTATAAGTATAAGCGGAAAGTATAAGGTAAGTATAAGCGGAAAGAAGTCGAAAATATAGAATACAAATTTTTTTTCTTAATTCTTCCATCGAGACAACGATCTACAGTGAAATCCGTTATAACGAGACGCGGTAAAGTGCACTCGTACCGAGCGAAAATTTAAAGTCAATTTTCTCGGAAATAAAGCCTCGAACGAAAAATTTTTATTCTATATTTTCGACTTCTTTTTTCGCGTAGAATCCTCTTTCCGCTTGTACCACCAATTACCAACCACTTCCAACCGTTCGAAATGAAAATTATCACAAAATTTTCAACACGTAATTCGTTTAAATGCGTTAGAAGCAAAACGCGTGCATTATGTAGCTCTTTTTGTTGTACGGACCAGTTCAAACTCGGAACATTCATATTTGCAGAGTAAACGGATTAATTTAAAATCGCAATCATATTTATAATCTTACAATTATCCTACAATTAAGTTGATGGTATCGTTCATTCGGCTCGTCATCAATTGCTCCATATTAATAACAACGGGTTTCACTCGATAAATCTTCCATTCTCCATTACTGCAACATAAAGAATAATCGTCGTTAAGTATCTTGATATAATAATCAGTTATTTCGAGAATCATCGACGATCAATTATCCCACAGTTCTCGAATATATGGCTGTTTCGAAACGAACGTTGGTCGTGAATATCGCCTTTGGCGTATACTTCGCAGTGGCCAGTACAATTTTACCATGGATAGCCTATTATATCGCGAACTGGAGATATTTTACTTACGTTACTGCCATACCGCTGTTATCTGTCGCTATCACACCGTGGATTCTTCCCGAGAGCGCCCGGTAAGTAAACTTCTAATCGTTCGATTATTCAAATCCTCAACTTGCGCTTGAGATTTATGCAAATTTACTTATCGATCCATATCACTCGTATTTACTCTGTTCAAGATGGTACGTTTCCAACGGGATGATGGACAAGGTTGTTGAGAAACTACGGAGAATAGCTAGAATCAATCGTAGAAATCCAGACTCGCGTATTTACGATATATTCGTCGTAAGTTCGATCAAATAGAATTCTAAAAAGCTTACCCGAAATCACACAGTAGAGTACTTGAATCTGTGCTGACAGATATATTTGATTCACGTCGAAAACACACAGACTCGCAAAAGTATTTTACCATGTATAGACGGGTTTTAAAAATGAAACGCGATGAAAAATGAAATATGAAATGAAACTTGACTATCGCGATTCCATTGTGGTATTATATCGATCTTGTACAAAATTTGAAGTAAATCTGGGAACTTATATAGAAATTATAAAATATTTAGTACAAGTACAATCGGGGATAAAAATAAGCTGCTATAGTTAATGGAAATAGATGTGAAGAAAGTATAATCAAATTAGTATCAGCCTCATATACTTGAGTTTTATTTATTATATTTCCTTCTAATAATATGCAGATAGTTCAGCAAATGATTGAAATGAAATTTTACATTTTCTCCACTGATCCACTTAGTTTTGTTCCTGACTGTATTTCAGATCAAAAAAGTATTTAATCAACCAACCACCCATTATATTAATAAATCTCGATATCAAAAGCCATGCCGACTAATTCCATAAAACAGAATGCGAAGTACCACTGTTCGTGCTATCTATTAATAATGAATAAAATGAAAATGTCTTTTTGGTATGTTATGAATTTTGAACTGTGTAAGGGCTAAAGGCACGGCTCGTATTATATCTTTCGTTAATTATTCTCGAAATAAATTCTTGCAGAGTAACATGGAGGCATCGGACAGAATTCAAGAATCAGCGACGCTTCTTGATCTGTTCAAAACGCCACGGTTGGCGAGAAACACTATTCTTCTAGTTGCATTCTGGCAAGTATAAGATACGAGTTCATGTTGCGAGGACACCTTCATAAATAACCAATACTGTCTTGTAGGTGTTTCACCGTAATCTCGTTCGACGGCCACGTGTATTCATTAAAACTTATCCAGAGCTCGGTGTTCGTGTCCTTCTCCATCGCCTGTGCCACAGAACTTCCAGCTGGGTTGTTACTTGCCCTGTTGCTCGACCGATGGGGTCGTAGACTTTGCGGATTTCTCACTCTGGCAATGACCTGTGTACTCAGTATCGCTGAACTTATGCTGTACTCCAGTAAATATATCGATCTGTTTATTAAAGTAAAATTAAAACGATTATAATGACATATTATTGAGAAAAATCTGAAATTAAGTTGATGATAAATGTAAAAGAATTTTGGCAACTTCGAAGGTATTAATTTGGAACTAGAATTTAGGAATTATTAGGAATTAATTTAGTGGCGAAATTGAAAGAGGTTTGCATATTTTAGAAGCAATAATTTTCTAAAATAAAAATTAAAATAAAAATAAAAAACCAATATGTTGGTTTTCTTGAATTTGGAAATTTATAGAAGTTTAAAGATTGTGTGAAATTTTAATTTGATTTTGATTAAGCTTCGATCAGACTATATTTTTAATTAAACTTACAATCAAATGTTGTGTACCCAGGATTAATTTTGTATTTTTTAATTTATTCTCCAGTGCTCGCGAAATTAGTAATGTCAATATTGTCACGATTCTGTCTGAACATGGCAGCCAATGTTGGTCTTCAGTATGCAGCAGAACTTCTGCCCACGCCAGTCAGATCGCAGGGCGTATCTTTCATTCATATTTTCGGAATAGTTGCACACTCTTTGGCGCCATATATCACTGACTCGGTAAATAAATATTTATACTACTATTGCTGTTACAACATTTTTGACACACCGCTAAGTACATCTACGTTCAACTTCTCTTTAATTGATTCTAAAAAATACAATAAGCGCTATTAGAAATTATGAAAAAGCTCTCATGTATTAGCATCTTTCTCATGAAAATGTAAAATAATTTTTTTTTTACCTTAAAACAAGTTGTTTCCTGAAGAAGTTGAATATTATAAAAATCTGATCAAAATATTTCTCACTTTCTAGAAAGCCCGTTTTGGAAGTTGCAATCAACGCTTTTCTTTAACTGATCTTTAATCAAAAAATTGAAATTTAAAATAAAAAATGATGGAATAACTTAAGATATGAAACTATATTGCTTGAAACTTTCTAATGAAACTTTTTAAATGAGAAATACTTTGACCAGATTTTCATGGTATTTAACCTTTGCTCATATAAATTAATACTTGTTCATTAGGCTGCAATTTGGGAGGGATTTCCAATGCTCATTATCAGCACGGTGTCCTTTTTTGGCGCTGCACTGGTTTTGTTCCTGCCGGAAACTGTCGGCCAGAATCTTCCTCAGACTATCAAGCAAGGCGAAGAATTCGGAAGGGACCAACATTTCTGGTCGTTGCCTTGCTACCGTAAGACACACTTCAATGGACATCAACACTATCATTCCTGTGAACGATAATTATCTGATTTTTAATAATAATTCAATTAAAAAGCACGAAGGAGGATTCGTGTTTTTTTAGAAGTAACAATATTACAGGCGGATCAGTCTGACGATTTTTGTACGAGAAAAAATCGGAACATATTATTTTTCTATTCTCCTACATTAATTTTTATTTTTATCGTTTACGTTTAAGAATTTGTAAGCTTTAATTCTAAGAAGAGCGAGCTTAGAAATCGTGTTCCTATATAATTTTTATTATTATCTTTTAAGAGCTTTTATAATTTTAATGCTAATTTTCATTTGCTATACGCACGTTCGAATCGTTCAGCGGTTGGTGTTAATTTGATATTCAAAGATATTACGTAGAATAATATTGAAAATGTTACGTAAATTAATAATTAAATAATTTATTATTTACGTAAATAATAAATTAGAGAGATTTAAATTTTTGATTCCTTTAATGTTTTTAACATCTTTTACTGGAATATATTGGACAAGATCTTATTTAAAAAAATAGTACGTTTAGATAATTTTTCTTTGTGAAAAGAAACAGTTTTATATCTTTCGAACGATTATCCACGTATTTTTAACGATTATTTATCTGTTCGTTATATTTTTTTGTACGATTTTAAATAACGTACAATATTAATAAAATCCAAGCTTGAAGACTTTTTATTATTTATTATTGTTATAATTTCTTCAGCACCAACTGCTGGACTTATCTATCTAAAACGAGTTGTGCGTACATTTAAAAAAAAAATAGCTCCAATTGACTGTTTCAATGGTTTAGGAAGAAGAAAAAAAGAAAGGAAAAAATATTGTAAGCAAATCGTGCCATTGTATGACGATCAGTGTTCGTCGTTGTGCCAATAACCACGCAATTAATCTGAATACCTATTGATAGTATTCATAATCATCACTCATGTATACATTCGCGTATACACTCACGTCCATAAGATTAATTCACCGAATAAAACTTCCATAAACCTTAATATAAGAAACAATTCTGCTTTTTATTTGCACACACATCGACGAATCCTCCGAACAAAAATAAACTGCTAAATATCTCTATAATTAAATACATTAATGTTCGATGATCCTCGTCCATCATTGTACATCTAATCTAACTCCATCCTATAATTAGGAGTTCTACGACAACGATCACTTATGTTACAATGTATTAACCCTTAAAAGCCGAACTTAATTATAATTAATTATAGAAAATGAAATGCTTCATTATACGGATATTTGAAGTAATATTCTGTATTATACAGGGTGTCTGGTAATTGATACTGTGATAACCAGTTAATGTGGTTAACAACCAGTGGTACAGAATAATACTATGTGAAAGGATCTGTTGAAGATATAGAACGAAAGATTTTCGTACGACGTTCGAGAGAATGAAATTCTGAAGCTTTGTCAACTCGTGTTCACACGACATTCGCAGAACATATTCAAAATTTATTTTCTCGAAAATACGAAAAATCGTCAGTTACGAAACACTCTGTACTATATCACATTATTGTATTACTATCGTATTGATAAGAAATGTCGATATTATAACTCCTTAAGACTCCCGTAATATTTATTTGCGATTCAGCTTAATATGTATTGGCTCTGTGTAATTTCAAGATTAAAAATATAAAAGAATTCATTCCTGATTACGATATCGTACATCATTTACAAAATCATCGACCGTCAAGGGTTAAATGAGAATTCTCTCGTCCAGAATTATTTTCCAGACGATCGAATTATTATCCATTGCATCACGAGGATCGAACTAACTTATAGCCTTGAACAATTATGTACAGTTGAATCTCTAGCATAGGAATATTTCAAAGAATCTCAGGTTTTGAGGAACGATAGCTGATACTTGCAACGAACAATAGTATGTCTTTTTAATCGGTAACTGAAAGCAAGGGCTAGTCTCATAAGTACGCGAATGATTCTAACGATCGAATGATTCTAGTTGCTAGAATCATTGTTTAAACGTATATATCTCCGGTATAACGGAGATTGTGCGCTTAAGACGAATAGGTCGGAGGATCGAAAGAAACGAGATTGGAAATAGATATTCGCGTCTCTTCACGAATCAGAATTTTGCTATTTCTAATTGAACACGTGACGGAGTTTCGATCTGTTTCAAGTAACATTTAAACCTGAGCATTTTCAAAATTAATTCATTATCTATCAATTTTTCTTCTAAAATTTGTATATAATTCTATAAATTATTTACTGCTTTTTCCATTCGATTTAAACGGAACAATTTCGCAAGAATGTCGAACATTATGTTAATATCCTTTGTATTAAAAAAAATTCCTGCTTAAAAAGATCCTACAACTTTCATTTTATAATCTCAATTGGGTATGATGGTAGCTAATGAACGCTTAGCAATTAATTGTTTTAATGCATTCCATTTTATGAATGATCAGTAATTACAGATTCAAGGATACTTATTAGAAGTAATATTCTTATTATATCTAAATATATCAAATAGAGATATTTCTCGTATTAATACTGAAAGATCATAAAAAAGAAAATATCATAAAAGAATTTCAATGTTTCACTAGAATAATATATATATATATATATATATGTATATGTTTAAATCAAATAACAAAGATCTCAGAGTTCTCAAAGCATTCAACGTGTTGATGTATAAATAGATGAAAAAAAAGCCACGTTAATCGAGCGAACGCAAAATACACTTCGGTTTAAAAGTCGATCGAAACTCTCATTTCAAGTGTCGGCGATTTATGAATCACCTATATTGATACAAAGGCGATACGTAATAAAAGAAACAAGTTGAAAGCTTGACAATGCGCTCTTGTGACAGCTCTCTTTTTGTGTTTCGAGTCTCGTGGCAATCCTTTTTTATTCACAGTATTTCATAGTTAAATCAATTCAACTAGAGTATTCTTTTAACGAGGAAAGAGAAAAAAGAGCAAGAAAAAAAGATATAGATCTTTCTTTTCGATTTTTAAAGCGAAAGATGCATAAATACTATGGTATATTATTTCCTTATATATCGCTTCCTTTAATACGTATATCCAATACTGAATTTAATTGTATATTTACATAAGATACTTGAATCGTTTCTCATTTCCAATACTTTACCGACGGTATATTACGCAAAATAATTACATCGCAATATGTGAACGCAACTTTAAACGTACTTTAAATGCCGTGTTTTTAATTCTTTAAATTTCTTCACATTTTTATACAGTCATTCCAATTAAAAAAAGATACACTTTAAAGAAAATTATTTTGTGTGCAACAAAGCTAGCATTTCGTCGATGAAGTGCCAATTAATTGCTTAAACGTATACCTTGTGTAATTTGACGATTCTTGTCTCTTTCACTGCAATAATCGATACTTCCTCCTAGTTTCTCTCAACAGCCCTCCAATCTCAATACGTTCGTAAATACGTTAACATCTAACATCACACGCGCACGTTTAATAACTATATTTACAACGAATTTGGCAAGTTTCACCCCATTGGCAATTTCATGTCACTGACAAGTTTCATGCCATTGACAATTTCATGCCATTGACAAGTTTCAAGCCACTGGCAAGTTTCAAGCCACTGGCAAGTTTCGCACCGCCGCCAAATCTAACCGCTATAACCTAGTACAGTCCATTTTTTGTACACTGCCAGTAAACGCTGGATTCGAAAGGCCTTTCTTCTTCCTATAAGATTTCTTCAGCATTTTGCTCCTGTCAAATTGAAATAAACGATTATTAGTAAATTTATATTGACACAAGGCGGAGGAAGAATATTATAGAATCTATACTTACGAGGATATACACGGAACCCACCAGAAACTTTGTTCCTTGCCGAAGTCGTTACCCTCCTGTAGGGTTTCTGGTAATTCCTGGTTCAACGTTTCTGGCAAGCCAAGGGTCAGGAAGGCGTGTCCAAAAGACAGCAAACCGAGGGCAACCAGCGGTAAAGATGGATCAATGTCAGCCTAAATTAAACGAAAAATATTCCCCTTTTATACGCTTCCCCTTATGTGCCTTCCCCTTATACGCCTCTCGTTTTACGTCGCCCGTTATACGTCTCCCTTTAGACGACTCCCTCTATGCGTCTCCCTCTATACGTTTCCCTTTATACGTTTCCCTTTATACGTCTCCCTTTATACGTCTCCCTTTATACGTCTTTTAGAAGCAATAGCGATTAATTCCGCTTTCCGCAAATTCCTTAATTTCCCTTCGATTTTCGAGAAATAAATAGATACTTCCATAAGTTCATTTTCCGTAATAAGATTATACAAATAATAGTATACCTTGAGGCAAATTTATAATTCAGAGCAGGATAACCCACACAATAGTCGAGAATGTCCTCATAAATATTCCTCTTTGTATTTTTCTGTATAATTAATATTTTCTTAAATATTAATAAAGAATATTGATTAAAGACAGAATTTGAAGAAGTTGTCAATATACAAACGATCATTGGTGTTACCTGTATAACCAGATTTTGTAAACATTCGTTTCATTTAGAAACGAAGCTATAGTGTAGTATCGCAAACCTGTAAATAATTACAGACGATAGAAAAATTACATTTCCTTCACAAAAAAAAAAACGAAACGGAGGAAAATATATTGAAAATCTATCTTGTTTCCGTGATTCGTAAGATCACAAGAAGAATCCATGGCCGATAAGGAACATAATTTTTCTACAAATTAAACCAACTTAAAAAAACTTATTTCATTAATAGATAATATTAGTCGTAAATTAAAAAAGAGGTTGAGTAATTTTCGGATCGTAAAAGTACGATGTCGTTAACAGAAATTTCGATTCACTTACCAGATAAATAATGTAAGGTCCCAAAATGTGGGCAATATAACCGATGATATGGATCAAAGACACGCCCTGAGCTCTCACCACAGTCGGTAGCATTTCCGCTGCATATTGGAAACCAATATTCGCGGCAATATTCACCCCAAGACGCGCTATAATCGCCATGGCAACCGTTGTCGAACCTTGAACAAGTTGAGAAATATGTAAATGCAACGATCGCCACATTCCACGCGCGATACATACGCCCGATGCGCGCATGGTCCAATTAAAAATTAAATGTCATCCTTGTCCAGTATTGACGTCGAGAAATAAATTTCAATCGTTAATGGAATAGGATTTAAAGGCGAAAAACAAAAAAGAAGAGAAGAGGAATATTCGAATAAAAAGATTTTATAAGCTTGTCTAGTTAAACTTTTGTATGCAGTTGTATAAAACATGGATTTTCAATTCTTTTCGTCTCATAGGATACGTAAATTAGTAATTAAAATTTTGCGGCATAGAATGAAACGTAAAAATGTATCTTTTTTTTATTACAAATTGTCAGATTATATGAATTTTGTATATTATTTAGCATTATTTCGAATGGCACAAAACCAATTAAACATGGCGGCTATCAATAAACGACAAGCCATTCGATACAATACTAAGTAAAATGACCGGATTATATAATTGTAAATTCTCTATAATACGATTTTAAATATGTCGTTCAAGTCTGTTGTCTATAAACGATAAAAGAGAATTCGAAGGAAAGTTTTGTTGCAAGATGAGGAAATAAAAATAGTAAATTGTTTTATAACCATAACCTTCTATCCTAAATACGGATTAAAAAATGTCTATTTTCCACCCCTTAATGTCCTTGAAAATGCGGATATCCCCTAACTCTACCGCTTATCTCCTTACTATCTAACAAAAACATTATTCTTGCATCAAGCACGAGCTTTCATTTCTCAATCTCCCAAAGCTTTCGCTTGAGAAGCTTCAGAAAAGCGCTTTTTAAACCGACGTCGATCGATAAAACCGGATTTTTTCTATAAAATTCACCCCCGCTTTCTCACTGCTATTCACACGTTCCTGCTATTTTATTGAATAATATCGATCGACAAGTCACATTTATCAAGAAATAAAAAAAAAAAAAAAAAGAAAAAATGTTACCAAGTTATTATTAGGAAATTGTTAGACGCGAACAGTATGCGAAAAGTTAGTATGTAGTGTAATAATTATCAATCAAAACACAAGAATTAAATTCTTTAGGAAAAAATTTCCGGAATTTCTTATTTTCATGATTATAAAGAAATGCATAATAAAAAGGAGCTACTTTCTAATACTTCTCTTCCTTGTAATGCTTATGTTAATAATAACGAGGTTCGTTTTTTTTTTTTTTTTTTTTTTAAAAAAAAAAAAAAAAAAAAAAAAAGAAAAAATGTTACCAGAAGGGGTGGCGATGGCAACGAAGGAGAAAATGCCACAGAGGAACATTGATGCGAAACCCATCCATCGTCTACCCCATCTGTCGAGGAAAAGGGCGAGTAGAACAGCGGCCGGAAGTTCCGTGAGGGACGCTAAAGAGAACGACGTGAAAACGTCTGGGTCTAGAAGTTTCATGTTCCAAACATGGCCGTCGAACACCCACACCATCAGCAACCTAGAAAAATATCAGTCGAGTCATAGATAAATCACGCTGGACTTCAAGATCGTTTATTAATCCTTCGCATACTCGTTTCCTCGCGTTTGACGTTTATCGATGCTAATTATATACTTAAGCAGGTTCTTAATGACCCACATAAAATGCCCCATATACTCTCTTAATGTTCATTCGAGTAGTTTGTATCTAGTTTATGGTAATTTGCGTCTATTTTAATACTGGTTTCATAAAGACAGGGAAGTAGCGTTGAGGCTGATTGGTAACTTGGTTGAATTAACGGTATAATATAATTGGAATATCGTGAGGCTGAAAATATTCTTAGTTAATTTTATTTTAGGAAATGCAGGAAGATTCAGAATTATCGTAGTATTAAAAACAAAGAAAATATAAGAAACGTATAAAATCGAATACCTTCTCTATCTACAGGGTGGTTAGATTGGGGTTAGGTGGTTGGTAACTGGTGATACAAGCGGAAAGCGGGTGTTGTGCGCGAAAAAAGAAGTCGAAAATATATGTTGGGTTATGGTTAGAATTTTCTAACAACTCTTCACGTGAATTAGCCATTGTTTTACAAAGTCGAGATTATATTTACACGTATATACAGGACTATCACAAAGCTTAACAAATAATAAGTCTAATGAATAATAAGTTTAACGAATGATAAAGTTAGTGAATAATAAATTGTATGAATAATAAGTTTAATGAACACTATTAACAATGTCTTTGGGTTCAAACGAATCCACAGTCAACGGGATAACTCTTCACTAAACGTAAACTAATCTTAGGCGCAAAATACGATTGTTGAAAATGCTCGATGTATCACTCTCCAAAGCAATCGCACGAATGTTAGCCTCGTGGAATTTTTTTCGCTGTACGATTGCATTTGTTTTCTATACCCGTTTGGAAGCATCGAGAAAGTTCCAACGTCGTTGCTATGCAGTTTCTGTCTGAAGTTTGATTATTAATACAATGTATGTCGCATTGTATCGATACCTCCGAGGCAATATCACACGTGGCTAGGCCCAACATATAGAATAGATTTTTTTTTTTTAATTTTTCCGAGCGAAAATTCAAAATCGATTTTTTCGAAAACAAAGCCTCGAACGAAAAACTTTTATTCTATATGTTCGACTTCTTCTTTCGCGTAGAATCACCCCCTTTCCGCTTGTACCATCAGTTACCAACCACCCTGTATATCTTTTCGTATATGATTATAAATTTCTCTGGTGTTTTAGTTTTTTCTAAAATAATATTGTAATCATTGCTGAGAATTTACAGGTGAAAAGTTCTAACTGTGTAGTTTGTTCGATTGCTGACGGATAGGTTAACTTACCAATAAATGATGAGCATTATAGTGATACGACCAAGTCGTGGCAGCTTGAAGAGATGTAGGACAGTGTATTGATTATGCGATTGATCCTTCTCATTCATCGCCTTGCAACTTCTCTCAAATTCGTCGAATATTTCTTGCTTTACCTCTTTACCGTTCACTTTAGCGAAGTTTTTCAGCATCTCGATCGCTTTGTCCACCCTGCCACTGGTTATGTACCAACTACGGAAGTATATGAAATACGCAAACGTTATAAAAGCCTGTAAGAAATTTTCAAAATCATCACTTTCACCAACCTTTTGTATCGACAAACTTTTTATGCAAATTTGAATAGAGCTGTCTAGTTACGCATCAATCATTTATTTCGCACAGTTAAAAATGTGATGGCTTATCGAGAGAAAAATGTTGACCTTGAGATGTTTTATTTACGGGACAGAGGAATCGATGTAATAACCGGTCCCAAGATAGTATGTATTGCTGGATAAAATATTACCCAATTTAATTCAGCTATAATTTTGGAATTTTTATGGTCCGGTCTCAAAAGACTTTTGACGTTTTAAGAGAAACTTTAACGTAAAAGAAATTTCTTATATTTCTTTGAGGACTATCTTTAAAGAATTTTCCGATGATACGAAGATACAAAAATAATCCAAAGGACGAGGTAAGATTAAATGTCTACTATACTATCGTATACTAATTTACTTACGAAATTTCTTTGTATTATATTTTTAGAATGAAAAAGAAATTGGAATTAAACTACCGTGCACTTTCAGGAACAATCCATGGTCCTACAAACGCAACCACCATAGGACACGCGGTGACCATGCTGAGGATCCTCCAATTTGAGATCCAATATGCGATCCAAGGCAAAAGACTCGAGGCTGCCGCGAAATAAAGTCCAAACGACATGTTCGCTACCAGAGTTCGATATTTCGGACCAACATATTCGATCACTGAAAAAATAATTCGTGATATCGTTATTGTATTACATTGTTATAGAAATCTTCCCAAATGTTTCGTCAATTTCGTTTCTTCATTTGATATAATAATATTGTTTCCTTATTTCCTTTAGGTTTGTCCTTTCTTCGTTTTTTACCAATCTAATTTCAAATATTCAGATTTATTTGTAGATTTTATAAATCATTAACATCGACAATGTAAGAATTTGAATTAAAAAGAATTTTAAAGGGAACACTGCTTTCATCTCAATAACGAACGGAGAGTGTCTCAGTAATCGTGGTATAACCGAAGATTATTCTCTATAGGGAAATAAGTAACTCGAAAGATACAATTTCATAGCAGAAAAGTATAGAGAATTAAGTATTCTGTCGTTTAAAGTAAAATATCTTAAAGTATCCCTAGACACATGTAATTTTTTTACCAAACTAGATATACAATTACACAACAAATTTCAAATTACGAGATATAATTCCAAAATATAAAGTTTCAGTAAACTCATCTACCATTAAATATCTTCAAGTTGGTATCATAAAATTCGAATAAAAATTTGACTTAAAAAAAAAAACAAACCGATATAGGGCAATGAACATTTATTCAAACACGTCATGAATAGTTAGTCGTTACGTAAAACGGGACCAATACCGGTGCCTCATTATTAGGTCATAAATTATAGTTTTCCTATTCTCAACAGCTTTTTCTCTCTTATAATTTTCTCGATGACTCACCGATAATGAAAAGCACGTTGAAGCAGTTATCGAACGAGGTACCGACGACCAATCTCGCCAGACAGAAACTCCAGAAGCTGTTGCAAAACGCAGTGCCAACAGACGCGATGAAACCAACCGCGTTACACGCAACCAACGCCGGAATTCTGCCACAATGGTCGGCTATATAACCGAATATTAAGCCTCCAAGAATGCTGCCGACGAAGAAGGCCGATTGTGCTGCTGAACCGAGGAACGCATGGTCACATACCCATTCCAGCTGAAACAGAAATGGGGGATGCTTTATGATAGCGGCTGTTTATACTTGATGAAAAAACACCGCCTGGTTGGAAAATCGATGGAAGGTGAAGAGAATAAGGAAGACGACGAAAGGACGAGTAATAAATTGCGTAGTTTTTTAATATCATCAGAATTGAGAACCTCAGTCGTAGGTTAGTTAATTGTAGTCTTTTGATAATATTTTTAGTAATAAAATAGTAGAGGTAGTTTGCATAATTCTTGGATATGATTAGGGAATTTGTCATAGTGGAAGGAATATAAATTTGTTAAATAGAAGATAGTATCTCCCGATTTAAGTAGGACTTTTTTAGTGATAAAATAGCAAAAATAGAAATTAGAAATAATAATAATAACAATAAATATTCGATAAAAATTTCTTGACTCGTAAGAAGTTACCAAGTGCGTATTTATACGTTCAATTCGAAATATTTGTCTATTGTACAGTTGTAACTTTCACTTTCCGATTTATGCGATATTATATAAACGGATTCATTTTCGCGATTTAATACGCCGAGACGTACAAATAATTAAGGCTGACAAGGTTAATTTTATGTTCCGCTATAAACGAGCTCTGTTAAGATGCAAACAGCATAATAAGTAATTACATCTACGTCTAAGGTCGTGCAACCAAGAAGGACTTCTTTTATAATGACTGTATTATACGCTATCGTCAACAGTAAATATTTATAGAACGACGGTTCCAACAGTTTTAATTTAAATAAAAATTTGTTAATCGGTGTCGAAAGTTTGAAGTTACTTTATATAAAGAATATAATTTTCTCTTGTGATTTTACCTCGACAGCTATAGATTTGTATGGTATCATCGTGTGATTAAAGGTCCATCCATATTGGCATGGTTTTATTGGCCAGGATGGGTCTGCCTCTCTGATACCACTCTCCAATATGTCGGTATAGTTCACATTGTACATGTTACATCGTGAAAACGAAGTCGCACCTTCCGCCAGCAATTCCTCACTCGACGCTGGAGGGATCGATAGTGCAATCCTACATAAAACAAGAGTACGTTACATTAACGGTGATGAAATTTGCAAGAAGTATTTTTAAGAATACTAATTTTCGTTTGATTTTCTTATCTTTTTTTAAATAACCAAGGAAAAATGACAGCAAATGGTAGAGAGAGGGAGAGAAATTGGAAAACTAAGATGAAAATTCTACTCAAAAGTGCATAGTTTTTAATCCTAATCTTAAATTAGTCCAATTCCTTGAAACTTAATTCGAATCCTGTTTAAATAAAAAAAGTGACAAAAGTAATATACATAACAATATAAAAATATAAAATAATATAAAATATACACAATATAAAAATCTATAATAATTTCTCTAATAAAGAATAACGACGATATCAGTAACAGTAATAACACATTATCTTTAATAGTGTTTACATTTTTGCACTTTTAAATTGTCTGTAAAAATAAAATTCGCAGCCTATTTATTGTTTATAAATCTGCTTTTTAAAAAAAAAAAAAAAAAAAAAAGAAAAAAAAAATCAAAAATGGGAAAGGTGAAAGAATAAAACAACAGGAAAACAAAAGCACAAAATACAAAAGAGGAAAAGAGACAATGACCGTAAAAATAGGAACAAAGGCAAGAGCTGGAAGGACGATCGTCCCGTATCTGTTGCACTCCGAGGCATTCGAATTGTGTTGGGATTTAATTACCGATCGCTGCACGTATCAATGAGTCTATTTCCAGACAAATAAACGGTACGCGGGGAGATTCGAAAAATTATGCGAAACGAAAAAGAATTTCCTAGCCGATCAGTTCGTGGAACGCGTGAACGTTTAGAATCTGCCGGAGGTCGTCGACCAAACTGGTTTCCGGCGGGCCCCCGGAACGCTAAGAAATCGTCGATCTACAAAGCGATAGTTTCGCCTTGGCCAGGGTGATTCAATGGAAAACAAGCGTAACGAACGATTTTCCTCGTTGACGCATCGCAGAAAACCAGATCTCGCATGCGTCGTCAAGAATGGTAACACGATTCGTTGGAATCGTGCCATCCAGACTTCCTATCCTTTCACCGGTAATTCCTTACGTTCTTGAAATAGAACACGTGAAAAAGACGTTGATAATAGTATAACTATGGAATCGCGATTTCCAACTATTTTTATCTCGTCGCAAACTGGTTACAGGTATCTCCCCCATTCCCGTACGACACGATATTTACATATGCATTTACATATACAACGCGATACCTGGGTTTTCCTGATTCAATAAACACAGTTGTTTCGTGCAAGTTATCAGATATTATATTGTGGTTTTAAAGAAACAAATTGTCGCGATGCGATACGTTATCACAGCTGAGAAAATGGAAATCTCCGTGCAAGTGGAAGATTCTGTCGTCGAGAATATTTATTGCGACCTGCATGGAAAACAAACAGGCTTTCGAGAAGCCTGGTTTAAGCTACGTGCACGTGACTTGAACAGATATGTATATATGCATATAAATTGTCTCCTATAGAAGGTGGTTAATTCTAGACATTGAAAGGAACGTCTTTAATGAAAACATGTATTGATTTGTTATATGATCAACATGATTATAGACCATTTCGATCTACTCGAGCTGAAAACATCTATTGCGTAACAGGGTAAATTCGAACATAAAGAAACTATGTAGGATCGTTCGTTACGTATAACTCAATAATTCAAATAAGACAAATTGCGCATAAAGTGTCACTTACTTTTGTTTGTCTGTGAGGTTCCATCGTTCGAGTTCCGGAACGGTACACCAGTGTTCAGCTGGCAATAGCGTGATGAAGAATTGCGTGAAGTAGAGGAACGCGTAGACGAAGGTGAAGGGTAGGAGCATGATGAAAAGGAACCATTGGTAGCGGCTGGCCTCGCCAACGTACGGTAGTATGTCGTCGAAGGTTTCGATCTTCGGACGTTCGCCCTCCTCGGCTTTTACAGACTCCACCATGACTGTCATTATCTCGATCTCTGCGAATCAATGATCCTCGATTACCTACTTAACTCGAATTACACGTTACGAGGAAACTAAGTTCAAGGTGAATGGGGTATTATTAGGTCGACGAATAAATTCGTGTTGCAATGCGTTTATACCTTTTTATGTGTTTTACGAATACAGATCGATAAACGATCAAGGTGATCGATCTTATGATATACAGTGGCTCACGGAAGTACTCGAAACGTTCTATAATTTCGTTAGCACTCTAACGAGATACGATTATCGAGATTATAATAGTAAAATTTGGAATCAATCTGAGATTGTATATTGAAGTTACATGAGACAATGTATATATATTTTCGCAAATATATATGTTAAATGAAAAATTAATATGTATATAACACATGATGATGATTTTATTATGTACATCGTGGCTTATTATTCTTATTAATTTAGCGAATAATTGACTGCTCAAATACTCTGGTAATTTTTATATATAAAATAACAATAATATATGTTTCCAATAAATATCTGTAATTTCTATATACACGTTTAGATCTGTTTCAAATTTTCTCAATGTAATTACGAAGATCGTGTCTCACTTCAGTGTCAATGAAATCTCAAAGTGTCTCGTATAAAAATCACCAAAGGTTTGTTTAAGTGCCCGAGTACTTTCATGTGAGCGACTGTTGTTTTAGTAGCAAGTTCTCTTATGTCTATCTCTTCGTTACATTTAGCCGGATAATTTCTCATGTTTATCAACGTGTTATGATCTTTCTCTTATTAAGCGGAGAAATCTCTTCCTCGCTAAATTTTCTTAAACGGGTTCAAGGTGAGGTGAACCACATTGTTGAAATCAAGATGAAGAAGATGAAATCTAAAGTCGAGATGAAAGGAAGTAGATGTTTGTATTGTCTAGATATATTGCCATGCTACTTTTTGACACGATATAATCTTAGGTAAAGGCTAATTCAAGGTGATACAGAATGTACTGGAAAAAGTGATTTGAATTTGCTAGAGGGGAAGAGAAAAGGAAAGATCCTTGAACATTTTTGCAAGGTTATTGCAAAATGGAGGATACTATCGAAGGCTTATTGCTGTCACTTGTACGTTCTAACTGGAGTGTCCTTTAAATAATTTGCTTCTTATTAGATCCTTTTTGCAAATAGGAAGATAATATTTTTGGGACGTGAGGATTGTTAAATATAAATGTAATGTAATCAGATGTAAATTGTCATTGGAATAGAAGAGTTTGTTTAGAAGAAATGATCATGAAATACACAAAATGTATCGTGCGTAATGTGTAAATAATAATTAATTCCAAAGACAATTAATGAAAATTTTAAATAATAGAGTTGCCTTTTTTTTTTTAAAGATTATTCAGTTAAGAAACAAGCACCGATAAAACAGCAATTATAGTTAATTATTAAAAAATCCAAGTAGGTATTACATAAATAAAATTATCGAGGAAGATATTTATCGTAAAGATTGTGTGCTTATGAAAGAAGTAAACGAAATTATTGTAGCTCCATAGTAATTTGTATTAATCTTTGAATCTTGTTTAAATAAAATTTTCGATAAAAATTTGATTCTATCGGTGAACGATTACTACAGTTAATTACTGGATAATTAAAACAAGTAAGTAAAATTATTGTTACAATAATCCTGACAAATTCGTGATATTATTCAACTAGAATCGTTAAGAAAAAATTCGACACCGTTAGTGAACGCTATTTTACTTTTACTTCACGAAGGCCAACGTTATAGACGTTGAATCAAGAGCAATCATTTTCAATATAAAATATACGCGTGAAAGCTTTTGCTTCCTTTGATAATTGAATATTTAATTTGCCGCTAATTAAACTCTTTTCCAACCACTTTCGTCTTCTAAGAAACCTTTCATACCCCAAAGAGAAATCCCCCTTTGCACAAACTCGCTTTTTTTCAACCATCGTGCAACACGATATGATACACCGTGCAATTTACACGATTCAGATCTCAATCTTGCAAATCATTTCGAAAATAGATCGATGATTAAATCGATTATAAAATCGTTCCTGCAAGTTTTAATTGATTAATTATTTCTTTATTTGATGAAATATTATTTATTATTTAAATATCGTTAATTTACTGGCGTTCAATGAAATTTCTCGTAGAATTAAGTTCGCTTAAAATATTATTAATTTAATGACATTTTTTGTAAGATAATTGCGGTTAGATTTGATCTTTCACGAAATCTACGAGATGATCGCGTTCGATTAATCACCGATGTAGCGCATATGTAAAACATTTAAAACAGTCCATACATAGATGTTTCATAAGTGTAGATGGTTATTTATTACGGTTCTATGTAATTAATGTTCGTTGCGATTACCACGAACTTAGATAAAAAAAAAGAGTATTAATGACGAGAGAACCGGAAGTGACCAGTCCGTGACATAACTGTTATTTTCTAGGGGCTTGGTAACATTTGCATAAATTATTTCGCGTATACTGTAACGCACTTTACGTTACAACGGTATGTCGATGGACACGAGAAAAGAATTTTTCTGCCACAAATTGAATGGCATTTTTGGCGATAATGATTGTATGGAATGATGATTACTTTAATTGAGATTCTAATCGAGATTCAAGTGATACATGAAGTTTGTACTTTCCAATAGGATACATTGAGAAAAATGTCTTCGAAAGAGAATATGCTATTTTTGAATACACCATTTTTTAATAAGTCTAACAAATTCTGGATCTTTTAATTCACAAGGTTGCAAATCTCCAAATTGTTCCATCTGAATTTTCGAATCTTCTAATCTCACGATCTTCGAATTTTCCAATCTTCTAATCATTAAAAATCCTAATTTTCATAGAATTTTCAAGGAAGCTATAAGATAAAAATATAAAATATAAAATAAGAAAATTTGAAAAAGATACATAATTCGATTCGATCCAACACCATTTGCTCATAGTAAAAAAAAAAAAAAAAAGATAAAAGAAATTGTATGCAAAATAGGTAAACGTATTATAGTAAGTATTAGTCAATTATAGCAGATTGCTATCATTAATCAGTAATTATCCGAGTCGTAGCTGCATCTGTATATACATGAAGTATACAATACTAAAAATACATTTTCCTTAACAAAAATACTGAATAAACACATTCCTACGTAGCAACTAGTCAGCTGTGATAAATTGTTCGCTTTGAACAACGATCGACTAAGTTAGCGTTGATTTCCGTATTGTGTTTAAAGCGTGCAATAAAACGAACACGTGTTTATCCCTAACGTTAAGCCAGAACCACCTAAATTAATACGAATTTTCCCATCAGGTACCGTCCTTATTCTGACAAAAAAATGCAAGCGATATTTGTGCATGTAAATAATTTGTCTGTGTGTATATATAATAACTTATATGAAACAAGTATTGCGATATTTCTCGTACATTGCTAGATATAATGATTTTAAATAATTCTGGTTCAAAAATTCGATTAAGAATTACATTGCAATTTCTAGAAAATTGTTACAACATTAAAAAAGCGAGATCCCTTAGAATATCATATACCAAATTATATCACTACCAATAATTTTACGATTAAAGAATATAAGAAACCTCACCAAAGTGATCAATCCGTGAAATTAATGAGAAACGTATACTCCAGGAAACACAGCTTCAAAACCGACATTTTCCGATTAAAAACGCAAAGCAGAGCAGCAATAATATGCCCACCGACGCACCAATGAAAATAGAGGCTCGTAACGATCGTCATAACTCGAGTGACTTAACGATTTCAGGACGATCGTTATCGACCGATCGCTTCCGTTCCGGCCTGGACGTTTAACAACGAGGACAAGCGTGTGTCAAACGTTCTCGGTAACCGGTTACACAAAAGTGCGCACCTTGAACAACTATTACATCCCAGAACTAATTAATAAGAGCGATCATGGATAGCATGGATACATATAGTTTGCATACGTGATTTTTCCCCGCGGGGCCAGTTTTCTCGCCTTCGAATCGATCAGGGAAAGCGATCGTGATCGCGATCGAGCCATTGAAATTCATTCGATGCACACGAGATACAGCATGGCGTTTTGATCTCGCGGAACTCGCACAAACTACAAAGTCGAACTTACAGACTCGTAACAATACAAAGTGGAACGATCGTTTGGTTTCGCTTCCAACCGTAAGTCTTCCTATTGATTGGTGTTTTTCTTGGTCGTAAGGGAGAACGAAGAAAAGAAACGAAAGAAATCTGTTATTAATATTGGAATACCATCGTTTTCGAGGAATTATCGTTCTATTTATTTATTTATAATGGCGTTATCGAGTTAATTGTTTCTTAATATTATACATTAAAACACTTATTGTAGTCGATAGAAATAGAAATTTTATTTAAGATTGCAATCCGAGTATTTTATTTAAGTATGCAATCCGTAGTTTGTGCGAGTTCCGCGAGATCAAAACGCCAATTATCTGATTTTCCTGACGGACAATTTATATGGATCGATTGGAATTCATATAACAAGAGTTCATCAATTTTCTTCGCTACTCATCATTTTTCGTTCGCGCGATACGAGCTCGCGTTCAAGTGAGTGCTTGAAATCGGTAAAAGCTTGATTAATTAATCGAGTTCTGCCATATTTAACGCGAATAAGCTTTTGCATAATAAGCAACGAATGAAATACAAATTTGTTGTAATACACAATGAGTAAGTTTTGGAATTATTTTTTTCTTATTCATCTTGGAATTTATGATTGTTTACGGCGTTCTTTTTTGCGACAAATTGAGCTTATGGAAGTAATTTCTCTTCTAGAAAAATTGAACGCTAACGCCGTGTGCCAGGATAATGTGCAAGAACTAGTGTACTTTGGCTTCTGAAAGACTATATGAGTCACGGTTGTCCTATTCTTGTTGCTTAGTTGCAATGTTTGACCACCTGTTCTAGAATAGTGAATTTACCTCTCACTGATCGCCATCGATTGGTATTTTGTAGCACAGTGCTTTGTTAATCGATCGTGGCATTTAAATATACCAAGTTCATAGAAAAGAAGGCAGTTTTCTAAGTTTACGTTCTTTAGAAAAACATAATTTTATCATTAAAACGTCCGACCTTTTGATACCCATCTAAATATGTTATACATAGTCACGATAAATATCACGATAATGGATAAGTATATATAGTCGCGTTTTTGTTCCAATAAAAGCGAACATTGATGCTATCGAAAACACTTGTATATTTTTAGAAATTCCAAAAACAACAAATCCGATGTCAGTGATTTTGTCTGATTTGCTAGTTTCTAGCGTTAAGATTGAATACACAGCTGGCAAATTTTCTATTTCAAAGATCTATTTAACTTTGTGATTAAACAGCTTTCTACAAAGTTTTGCGGATTTGTTAGTTATCTTCGAAAGAATAAGCAAGCTTTAAAGGACTTTGATCTAATAAGTCTATTCCTCTTCAACCTTATAATTAATCATCAAGTAACGCTATAATTAGAAAATCAACATAAATGGATTTATCATATTTCTTCTGTCTAACCTTCTTTAAAATAATTAGCTGTTAAATGAGCCAGAGTTCTAGGAAATCTCCGATGCTGTTGATCTTCAACGAGATACAGATATCTGACAGATACTATCAAAATTCTATAGACGTCTATCCTTCAACTCTCAACATACCAATGTTTTTGCCATCATCGACGTTTCTTCACAAAAGGTCCTTAAAGAACTTTATGATTCTGTTACTCCTAAGTCACTTTGTACTGTTATATTTTTGTCATAATAGTGTCTACTAGAAATGTTTACCTAGTATATAAGTTTCACTATTATTACCATTCTATCGTATGTTGTACTCGGAGTTAGTCACAGTTTCTCAGAAACGTCTAACGAATCACTTACTCTTAGTTATTCTGGCACAGACGCTGTGTTTCACTTACTGAAAAAATAAACAAAAGAAGCAAAATGATGTACGTAATATACTAAAACATTCTAAGATACCGTGGTAATTTTTCTATTTCTTGTACAAATCATTTCAACTTGTTTTTTTAATCTTTTTATTTCTAATTGGTACACCGAAATGGATGTAGCAAATGTATATCACGGTATTATTCAAATAGCCTAATATTCGAACGTTCTATTATTCAAACATAATATTTCTTCGTAACGAATGCCCTTTTCCGTTTCAAATATGTACATACGTATGTCGTCAGTGTTCATACACAATGTACTCTTTCCTTGATTTGATTCATTGAATTGTGATTATACGGATTTGGTATGAAACTAGGAAGCGTTCTAACTATCGCAGGAAAATACAATGTAAACGAGAAAACTGGAAAGTGATGTAAGCGCAACAAAATTAGCAAAAATACACGATATTGGAGAAGCCAGAATCACAGACATTAAAGGAAGAAAAACATAATTGAAAATTATTCGAAGCACGTAAATTCCTCGGATGTTGGCAACGGTAGAAAAGCCGCAAGTATTCCGATGTAATGAAATGTTTCACGTAGACGATAATAATGGCGATTTTATATAAATGAAAACAGCAGACGAAAACGCTAATGAAAAGATATCTTCTCATGCCGAAGCACTCGTAGCACTCGTAGAAGAACTCCGATGATTCGAAGTACGATAAAGAACGTAACTCTGTGTAGTTATTTACGTTGAAAAAATTATCTGATTATGGATTTATAAATATTTAAAGAATCTGTCGATTACTCTTAAACTGTATTTGGATAAATGAAATTTCGTCTTCCTATTATTTCAGAAAAGAGACGCTCTACAACATTGTCTGCACTATGTTTCTAATAATTAGTAAAATATCTGAATTAAATAAATGTAGACGCGAAAGTCACTGCACATCAGTATATTAAGGGTCAACACAAATACACTGACTGTCACATCACGAAGACATTTTAAAGAACTAATAAGGACAAAATTGTTTATTTAACAAGTCAAAATATCTATCAATTAACGGACCACCATTATATCGTGATATTTAACGAAACTTCCAATCTTAAGAGCCATATATTATTATATAATAGCAGTGTTATAGCAGTCATTGGCTCAGATTTTAATTAAATTGGTCGTGAAAGTGAGAAGAAGTAAAGAGACCGAGTAATCACGAAGAAATGGTATGTATGTAACTTGATCGAAGCAAATACCAAACTTTTAGTTGTTATCTTCAACGAGAGAAATTTGGTCATCTAAGTAGGTTATCGACGCAAGTGTTAATGAAAGATAAAACACGATTGGAGCAATGAAAGAACTTCATTCTTTTTCCTTTTTCGCGAAATAGTAAATATACAGTAGCTCGCGTGAAAATATCTGAACATTCGTGCAAACATTTTGTAAATATATCGTGTGTATTATGTTCGCGATCAATGAATATCACAGTAGCTCCTATATGAGTTTTCAGATTGACTAAAAATTTGACTGACCTACGATAGTCATGTCTCATTCCGATACTAAAGAAATTTTTAAATATTTTAGATAACGCATACAATAAAGATACGTAAGTTATCTATACTAAATGCTGAAATACTTATAGAAGTCCTTTATGAATATAGTAGATATTATAATATGTGTGTTAGGCGAAACATTTTGAAGTTTAATTATTACCGTAATGAAGCACGGCTAAGATGACACAGGTACGGTTACATAGAACAAGTTTTTCCCGATATACTTCATAATGATTCGTGTAACAGAAAACATACATTATACACCAAAGCTTTCTACGACCAGCGTTCAAATACTTTCACGATGAACCACTGTACCAAAATTCAAGTCTCACGCGACACATCGATACGAATGATGGGTGCAAACAAACGTTTACCTTTCCCACGATCGTCCGAGAGCAACGCGAAACTTCACTCGGCGTATCACAGATCTCGTCGTGGTTTTGTTTCTAAAACGAGAAACTCTCTGCAGAAGTCACAGAAATAAAATGAAATCTAGCTTCTTCACTTTTGTCCGACTCGACAAGTCGATTTCGAACAAACTTTACTCTTTTCTTCTTCTTCTTCTTTTTCTTCTTCCGGATGTCTTTTCACTGTTTCAACAGGATAAAACGAAAACGGGAAAAATAACAAAAAAAAATCGCGGATCGCAACGACTCTCGTGATCCTGTGATCCAAATCCAGGACACGTGCTCGATCTCGACCGTCACAATGATCTTGGGTGCACGAGATCCTCGATTTTTCGGACGCCGCGCTACATCGTCGTTTAAAAAGGGGCACGCACTGACTGTTCGCCGCGTAGACAATTAGCGGGGCTTTATAGCGTGTGCAAACGAAAGCGGAGCCCCACCAGCGTCGTGTGTGCGGCTATTGGACGATGACTTTGGTCCCCGTAGATCGTCCCGTCGACAGCAACGCCGAAGTCGAAGACGTCACTGGAGAACTGCGGGGATTTTACGATTCCAAAGAGCCACTTCTCCTGTTTCGCCGCGACCGTTGGGTTTTCTCGTGACTCGTTTGCACGCTTTTTTCCCTCCTCGCTCTTCTCACTCACCATCGCAATCTTGCTTCTCCCTCGTCGCTTTGTCGCGACACGTATACGCGACCGGAAAGCGAGACACATAAACTGATGACGCGCAGGTGAGTGTACCTGCCGAGAACGTTGCGACGTTGTTGCATGGTTTGATATGTTTCCTCAAACTGTGTTTGGTTAACTAACTTAACTCGCCTGTTGGTGACTCATGGAAATTTGAGTGATATTACGAGGTGAAGTCGCGGAGTATTTGGAGTGAGAATTTGTGAATTTCCTGTGTTTCAGCATGTTACGTATGGTAATTTACAGTGTTGTTTGTATAGTATAGTACAGATTGGAAGGGATACAACAATAAGCAGACAGCTAGGCTGGTTAATTGATCAGGAATATTAATTGAGAATGAATTGTTTAGCAAGAAAATGAAAAAAGTATAATTCTAAGTTGCTTTGCTGCGTACATTGGGATTTATGATATACGAAAGATCGATTTCTTTCAGGTAGGAAAGAATGATTATAAAATAGAAATTATTACGTAATTTTTAGTATCGCAGATTTACCGTGGTATTGAATTCGGCTAATGATATGTGAACTGGAAAAACAATGATCATGTGAATCAAACGTTGATTATCCATCCGTCGAAGCGTTAGTCAGATATCGTGTAACTGATAGTTCCTTGAGTGGTTTTCAAAGTCGAACGATGAAACAATTTGAAATAATCGTTCCATTATCGACGAAATGAACGAATTTATCTAATGTGGCTCGTTAATTTATTCGACTTTTAATATTAATTACTAATTGTTATAGAAATTGATTTAACAAATTTAATATAAATTGATTTACCATTAATTAATCGATGGTAGAAAAGAGACGTTGGAAAATGAGTAATATGTAGCTTTAGTTTTACAGATTTTACAAAATAAATGTTACTATTTAAAAAAAAATGAATTTGATGGGGTAAAAGCTATATGGAAATATACTAACGACTTAACGAATTTAAATTTAAAGGACTTTAGAAACAAAGAAACAGAGACAAACTTTAGTTCTCGATGATACTTGACACGTGAATTGATTAACAGCTTGTCTTGCGTGATTAAATTTAATAGGATTAATTGAAAAGTTCGTATACCGTGTGTGAATCATGATAAAGTTGGTTTCATCGTAATTCACACGGTACTCGCAATGATCATTCAATCGGCAATTTTATTGTTCCAACATCACATCACTTACTTATCTTCGACTTGTACAATTCTCTGTGTTTTACGCAATTCTCTTTTTTATCCATCATTTTCTCGCATAGCACTCGAGTAAAGGCGAATCAACCGTTCAGTGAACCATACTTTGTTTCACTATGTTTCTTCACATGGTAAATGTTTTTTGATATCTTTTTCAAATTGAAATTCTACGGTTCTTCGGTTTGTTACATTGTGAACGAAAAAATCAACAGGTATATAGAAGAATATCGAGGTTAATCGCATTGACATTTTCAAATTTTTTAACACTCAATTTTAACTTTCTAATAATAACTTTCAAATTTTCAAATTGTCGAACTTCTAAATTTCCGAATTTCCAAATATTCCAGTTTCGATGCGCTCGAAGTTCCAAATATTCTAATTTTGAAATATCTTCAAATCGTCCAAGTTCCAAATTTCTAAACTTCGATATCGCCGGAGTTCTAATTTTTTGACCTTCTATGTTTACCCGAGAGATAAAAAAATTATGATCGGATAGTGTCGATTATGCCAATCGAAGATTACAAATTTTCTATTCGTGTGATCTTCGAAAATAAATGAGCGCGATATTTTCCGTTTTTATCTTCCTCGAGCTGCAGTTAATTAAATCAATTGTCAAAATAGCCCCATTGATAGCTTCAGGCAAATTCGCTGAGTAATGAAATCTACTCGCGAAACACGGAGACGCAGGGACTTAACCGTCAAAGATATTTGCTTCAGAAACCCGATACCCTTGAAAAAGAAAAAAAAGAAGAGAATTACATGTTATATACGCGAGACGCAAGATCGCTCTTACGATCTTTCTTACGCAACGGAACAGTTTGAAAACGAAGTTTGAATTTCGCGCGTATTCCATTAAAGGGTTCCTCCTTGAAAATTCGCCGAAAGAAATCGAACGTGAAAGATTTCGTGAACGCGAAAAGCTATTCAAATTATTCGTCGATTTAATTCTCGAAATTCGTTGATAAATATTAATTATATTTTATCGCAGTGGAGGATAGATTTCGTAATAGACGCGCGAAGAAAGACGTTTTATCGATATTTATAAGAATTATATGTCATCGTCTTGCGTTGATCTAAGAGCAAATCTAAAACAGAGGTATCTTCCTGCGAGCGGTTTGAACCGCTTTGAACGTTTGAACGTTCATAAAACGTTCTTTTTCGTTGGTTACAACGATCTTCTGCAAATTCGAAGATTGTCTCGGTTGCTGCAGTATATGTTGTTTCTAAGATTTGTCGATAAAAGCGCTAAATCATCGGGATTACTTATAAGTAATATACCTGTATCATTCCGTTTGATAGGTCTGTTCAACGTGTGTCGCGAGATGTTATTATTACCATAAACAGATAACGATTTTTGCTGATATTTTTTCAAAATTACGTCATCTTGTAGAGCATAGAAGATTGGAACACTCGGTATATCACGCTGATTGATCTTGTCATTTTTGTTCGTCTGTATCATAAATTAACGTTAGAAGGCATACAGTATCTTTTTTCTTTCGCCTTTTTTTTCTTTTTCTTTTTTTTTTTTTAGGAAGGAGGTTTCTCTTTTTTGTCGCAGGATAGTGCATAATTAATACTTTTAATAAATCCATTTTTATGCATACAATAGCTTTTGCCTGACTTTATAAAGACGTTATGAAAGTACGCACTGTGATTTTCACAGAAGACAATAACGTTCCTTTAATTACTCGATCGACAAGGTGATTATTAGTATGTTGTTATTCAGGGTCATCAATTCTACGTTGCGAATATATAGGTATTTCTGATATCAATTACTCGTTATGCTCGTTATGATTTGTATCCAATTTTCGTTTCATTATTTCCTCGTTATGTACAGTTTGTTTATAATTACTATGCATATCTACAGATTATCTTCTATAATTGCTTGATATTGATTTCAAATTTTTATCGAAGTACAGTCATTCTTTATTTAATTTTGTAAATATTTATTATGTCGTAAATAAATAATTATTTTGTAAATATTTTAATCCAACTCGGAAGAAAAATATTCTGTTCTGATGTTGCACGATGAATAAATTATTTCAGCAACTCTAGTGCGTTTTGTTATTTAACAAAATCCAAAAGGTGCACACGCCAAGATCATGGAAAGATACATCGTCGTTGATCGTTCTTATAAAATTTGCGTGCACGATAGCACCGATAACGTTGCGACATGACAACGCAACATGCCCGGGGATTCGTCTACATGTGGTATGTCCACACATAGGACGACAACATTTGCATACGTAATCGCAGCTATAAACGGTGCTTCACACATATCGCAAACTTCCTTATCAGCTCCTCTGAATAAAATCGAAGAGAAGATTTGATGATTCACGATAAATATAAAGTTTAAGTCGGAAGCTTGTCGTTGAAGAATTGAAACACGTAAAATACTGTTGTTTAATTTCGATATCATTTCTTTTTAATTATTGCTGCCTCGACTATTTGGACAAGCTACAGATCATTAAGAAATAAACTTATACCGTTTCCAAAATAATTATGATTACGCGATTATGCTATTCCATTTATTAACGATGTTTCGATTGATTCAAACGAACGAATATTCTAAGAGTGAAATTATAATTCGTTTATAAATAAACGTTTTACGTTAAAGTACACGTAAGTCTCTCGTTTTATCAATTTTTGTCGAAAAATATACTTACATCACTTTTAAAATAAACGCTTCAGTTAAAAGTGGAAAGAATTCTGTTAAATACAACGATACGTGTAATTGAGGAAATTTTGTCGAAGTAAAATGTGCATATCTGTTGAAATGAATAATACTTTGATATTTTTGAAGTTAAAATAACATACGAATAAGAGTCCTAAAATCAAATAAAACAGCAACTTTGGTGTGATGTTATTAAATCGGACACCGCGGGTAGAAAGATAACATTAGTTTTATGAATTTTATATAATATAAGCGTATTAATATTTTCAAAATATCCAAAAGTATGGCAAGAACACATATTCAATTCCAAAATCAAATAATTTCTATCGTGTATAATGAAAAAAAAAAGAAAAAACAAAAATTGTGGCTTATTACAGTCTTGCTGTACAGTATTCAATTTTAAAACTGCTCCGTAAAAAATATAAAACGTAATTTATCCTGCTTTTTCCTTATAATTTTCATAGGTAATATTCGTGGAAATCAGAAACTGGTTAAACATCGCGATGATGCATAAATTAACGATCCATGATATGAAAGATTGATTTTAGATAGAGAAGTTATTAAGAGAACATGTTGCTGGCTAGCTAGGAGGAGTACCTCGAGGAAAAGCGATAATATTTAAAATTACATTAGATTCAATTAATGTTTAATGATCTTCGAGTAAATAAAATATAGTTCAGGCGAATTTTCCGACGTTAAAATGTATGTTTGATGTTGATTGCGGAAGATAAAGTTTTATTGTCTAATAGCTGTTTGGAAAGCAATTATGCCTGCAAAACACGAAATTACTATTTCGTGTAGACGATTGCACAATTTGCCATTCCTGCAAATTATTTCATCATGTGTATTAATTTCTATTTGGGGATCTCTTTCTTCGATGATTTTTATAAATGCAAGAGCGAAACTCGATGATTTAAAAAAAAAAAAAAACAGCTTATATCAACGTTATCAACAGTATAATCTAATATTAATAATTTTCATAATATAAACAATTAATATATCATCGATATTACACATATACTATTTTTATAATACGATTATAATTTTAATAATTCAATATTTAATATTGTTCTCTCTCTGTCAGCTCTTAGATACATTTCCAGATACGTCACAAACATTAGCGATATTTAATGCAAGATTTAATGCAAGATGCAGCAGATTTAATGAAATTTCAAAATATCTTCAATAGTACAGATAATATATTCATAAAAGAAATTCGAATACTTTTTTGTAAGTCTGTTTTTGTGTGTAGGCCTATTCGTTTATAATTTAGATTAAAGTTTCAAATTAATTATAATTCTCTATGTGTGATATATTTTATCGTAGTTTCGTCTCTAACATGTTGGAGATCATTTCTCAAATATCAATATCGATCAAAGCAAAGACAAATACGAAGACGAGATTGAATTGCAAAACACAAATTTGGGATAGCAATATCATTGAGATTAATGAGAGAATAATGTGTGGTAACAGCTTAAGCGCTACACGATAAAGGACTACGATGAAGCAGCATGCGTCTGTGGAAAAAGAGCGAAAGATAGCACGTGCACATAAGTTTTGCAATTTTGAATCGATTTCTTCTGAAACGCGGCGGCCTTCGGCCGCGTGAATTAATTTACGAATAAAGGAAGCAAGATATCTGGAAGTGCGTAAAGCGTTACTACATTCCCACGGATGAATGCAACATGCTTGTAACACGTGTTTGTATTCCGTGTGTTTAAATACCATTCGGCGTTCGTTTTTAAAGAGTAGAAAATCAAACAATCGTATAATGGAAAAGGCGGTACCATAAGCGAAGTTCATTCGGATTTATTTCTTCGATTGTAAAGTCGTGACGTACCTTTGCATATTGTTCTTTCATTTTGGATAATAAAAATGTCTGTTGGAAGTATGCAAATGTGTCGACGTTACATAAAAGTTAATGAAAATTCGAGGAATTAAATAAAAGTTAAAAATTCAAAAGATCGACAAATCGCGAATATAAAAGAAAAAGATCGAAAAATTACACGAATTTCTGGATATACGTTGATCAACTCCGTACATCGAAAAGCAGAGAAACGCGAGTGACGATATTGTAACATTTTTTGTAATCTATCTTGGAACTTGCAGCTTCTTCTTTTTACGATAAATACACGTTTCTTCTTTTTTTTTTTTTCTTTGAGAAGTTTAGCTCTAAATATTTAGCTAAGCAAGAACAAAAAATCCAGTTTAGTAGATCTGTTTTAAATAAGAAAGAAATTGAAGAAGTAAATAAGAATTGAAGAAGTAAATAAGAATTGAAGAAGTAAAATAAGAATTGAAGAAGTAAATAAAAATTGAAGAAGTAAATAAGAATTGAAGAAGTAAGTAAGAATTGAAGAAGTAAACAACGAAATCCAAGGAATCGAGGAAATTTTAAAGCTAAATATAAATCATTCTCTCCATGTAGCTTTAAATTTTTCTATTTCCAATGGAAAGCACCTAACATGAATTTACGAACAAACCGAGACGAATAATCAATGAATTCACGTTCTAAGCTCCGTAACAAAATTCCAGAGCTGGTGTCCTAGTTCTGGATCTAGTAGTGAGCTGTGAATTTTCTAGTAGAAGCTCGCCCATAGTAAACTCCTATTCTTTTGTCTTGAAACTCGATACGACTTGAAAGATTCGGTTTTCCCATCCCTGTAACCGGAATTTCGTTACAGACGAACCATCGATCGTGGTTAGACACAACGAGCCGAAACGATTTTTGCGTGCTGTCACATTCTGTTTTATTCATCGGAAAGCTGATGACCTTGAAAGCAATGGACGCCCAGGGAAAGTCCGTGGTTCCCAGCGAATCGAAGAGCAACTCACAGGCAAGCAGCGACCGAAGAAGGTCGGCCAAGTGATTACCAGAAGCCACGAAGACGAGTTTGAAACCGGTTCATGGAAGAACGAATGAAGATAGAAGAGTGGCGAAAACATGAGACTAGATAAGTCGTGTGTACGACCGATGAAAGAAATTCAGGTAAAATTTCATTGGCAAACCGCAACTATCCTTGATACGAACTTTTCCTTGCCGAATTATCGATTTATTTGTCATTTTTACCTTCTTCCTGTTATGTCATTTCATTTTATTTTATTTTATTTGTAATTCTTAAATCAAATTCTTCAAATTTATATTCTTTACTATTTCTAGACTCTAGTAAACATCGTTTATCCTTGCATAGTCGTATTTTGGAAATTTGTATTTTATTGATATCGTTGCATTTTGAAAATTGTTGCTCTATTAGCATCGTTATATTTTATCTATAGATTAGAAGTTGTTAATTGTCCATTTTCATGAGCAATTAGAAAGATAATAATTTTGTAAAATGTTTTATATTTTTACGAATTCCTTGTATTTGAGAACTCGATTTTACTTTGCGTGTCTTATTTTATGAGCTAGTTTATTTACGAAAATATCTATTTTTCTCTTGTCCAATAAGTGTCAATTACAATGATCGATGTTACGCGGAACTTCCTAAACCTTGCACCACTATCAAACCAATGTTTCAAAGTCCAACTTTCGTCCCAAGTTGTGGCAGAATTTTTATTTATCAAGGCCGATTAATGTCGAAATGAATAGAAAGGTTGGATCTATTGTGGAGTTCAATTCGGAGGACCTTGAGATTTTTAAGGCACTTGCGTTTAATAAAAGCGAATCGTTTTATTTGACAGCTGAGTTAGCGAATTTAGGTGTTAATGTTTTATGAGAGCAACCATATAGCGTCGAGGATTCGATAATCAACACGGTAAATACGAAAAATGAAATTTTGACTATTAGTTGAATCAGAATTTTAAAAGGAAATAACTATCATTTTACATATCAATTATAAAATTATTTAAATACCGATAGCTATGAAGCATAGCTTTCTCATTGCGTGATATGAGACATAATTTTATTGGAAAAGCAGAATCGACTTGACTTTAGATTTAAAAAGCAACATTAAATTAACATTCGTTCGTGTATAAATTAAAGGTGTTCTCAATAATTCGATGTTTCAACTTGAACACACAGAACTTACTCATTGTCAGTTTTAGGTATGTTAAGTTTTCAGCGATTTTTCTGGCAACACCATTATCTATCCATTTTTTTTATGTCTTCAGGCAACACTGTTACTTATCTATCTTTTATGTCTACAAAAATTGCAGTCTCTTTACATTTTCGAAATACTTCATCTCTTTTTTTATCGCATTTCCGTTATTTCTGAACATAAATCCTTCTTTTCGTCGTCGTGTTACGCGACACGTTATAATATCGCACGATAATATCGCCGACCAATTTTTGTTACAGATTATTAGTAGCATATCGTAAAGTATCTGCTATTTTCTGTTACGAGAAAGCGCGATGCAATTAGAAATTTTACAATTTTTTTTAATATTAAAAAGTCCTAATATAAACGATATCCTGACAAATTCCTTGATTTGTTTTTTTTTGTAGGTAATAATACATTCTTGATAAAGCTTACTAGAAAAAATTATTTAATTTCATAAAACATTACTCACGTGTAAAAATCTGCGATAAATTTTCGAAACATGGACATCATTCGGTAATCTTCCGTGGATAGATGTTTCCATAGATCAGAATCTTAATGCAGACATCATGCAAAGAAATAAACACACACGTGTAAACTACATTCCTATAAACAAGTTACAAGAGAGTTCTGGCTAATGACAAGGAAAATTGAACTTTCTAGGAAAAATAAGATATTTGCTTTACGTATGTAAGCGTAAAGTATGTTATTAATAAATTATAGCCTAAGTAGCGACCATTCTTTGCCAGTTGACTTTAGAGGAAAATAATGTTATTACCTGCCATTTCTTCTATAAACGGATAAATGATATGGATAATGTTTTCTACTTAAAATTCTAATTTTTTGTTACGCCTTGGAATTTTAGATAAGTCAGCTATAAGAACTGAAATGTTATTTCTGGAGTAATTTGAAACAGCGCGTAAATAGAATTGACTGTAATTTGAAAAAAAAACAAAATTTCAATCGGTTAACGCGTAAAAATAGAAAAATTAGTGGCTATGAACATGGCCGAAAGAACAATGTAGAGAAAGTTAAACGCGAATAACTAACTATATAGTTATACGAATAATATGACCAACTAACGAAAAATTAATAGATGCAGCATCAACGAAGAGGATGAGACTATACAGACATCTATTAAAAAAGAAAATTTCATGCTTGGAGATTAACGAGAAAACAATATTGAAGAAATTAAAAACGAACGACGTGTAAAATCAAAAGAATTAAAAGATCAATGAGAAATAGAATGCATCAGAGAAGATCAGACGATACAACGTTAACATTATACTGAAGCACGAATAAAAGAACGGTATTAAAATTGTCTGAAGTTCCAATTTCAGATAGGATCTCGGATTATCTGCAGGAAATCAAGCACAATGCAATTATCTTGCTTATCGGTTGAGAAATTTCTGTATTGCGTCATTCGCCCTTCCCTTGTGACGCAAATCGTGGTATTACGCATGATTGCTAATAAAATAAAAATCAGAAAGAAAGACAGCAAGCAAAAATGTAACGATGACGGTGATTATCAGCGCGATAGATCATTCGTTCTACTTCCTGATGTCCTTCTCTACACGATGATAGGCTCGATTTCTATATTTAAAGAAACGCATAGACGTAAGCAGAAGAATACCATATTAGTAAACTGGAAGCTGTAGCAGCCTTTAGAATGGCCAGAAAAGAAGGAAATATACACCGTTCAGTTCCTATGTTGCGGTTTCGTAATCTGTCGTTAATGTTAGAGATAATGTTTATGCTGGTCGTTATCGAATTGTCCGTTTTTGAAACAGACATGACCGTTACTACGAAACAGATATTCTGATTGGCTTGCATAATATGTGTCAGCTCTTACAGCTGTGCGTAATATTTGCTTCTCAGCGTGTCCTTCTTCCTTCGAGTTTCGTATCCTACTGATTTCTCCTGCCGCTTCTATATTTTCTCCTGTTTTTTGGTCATTCGTTCTTCATTTACACGTAGTATTATTCGATCGGTTCTACGACATCTTTCCATTCTTTTCAATTTTCCTTGTTCGTAGTATTTTACGATATCGAGTTTGCTTATTTGGAAAATATAAAATATCTTGACTTTCGTAAATCGATAATTTACAATTTCTCTTTGGTTCGCGAGCTCGCGCTAAAAACTGTGACTTGAGAGAAATTGTAAATTAATAGAAAAATGGTAACTTTCCCTCTTTCGAAGTAACTTTATAATTTTCTTCTCTTTGTTCGTCTTTCTGAATTGTTAAATTTCAAGATATTAGCGATTTCCTTGACTCGAAAAATATTGACAAATTTTCATAGAATTATTTCAACATCGTGTTCAACAGGATGGAGCGAAGAAACGTGCAATTTCGAAGGTTTAGATGCCAGACGGTTAACTGTATATCAAGGTAAGAGCTGAAAAGCAGTTCGTACGATCGTTTCTTTGTACAAAGACGAGAGAAGTGACAGCCATGAATGGATGAAACGACCGCAAGCAAGGCCATCCTGGCTGCCTGGATCCATTCGCTTTTTACGAATACACATTTAAGTTCAAGTTCACCGGCGTAAACGACCTTGAACGAGTTCGACGAAAAGACACGGTTAAATGTTATCTAATTGTCCTTCAATTTCGCTTCGGTCCTACTTGGCAGGTATATCATTTTCTTAAGTAACTTCCTTACTTAACTCTTACTTAACTAGCTGATTAAACAATTTTTTCAACAGACTTTTTCCATTTCGAGATGTGTAATAAACCTTAGGTTGTTTTACTTATCTCGCGCTCTGTATCTTTTGCTTTTTAACGGTCACTTTCATTTAACGCCATTTTGCTGGCTATGCTTCCTTTAATTACACTTTAGTTATACTGTTTAGTAACTATACAGTATTGCGTGTATAGCTTATGGTTAAATAGTTCAATCATCTAAATAGGGAACAATCGGAATGTTTTTTTTTTTTATTATTTATTTATTTACATTTTACAATTTGTTCAGTAGGACATTTGGTAAAATATTATAGCTTAGTGATATAGCAATATAGCTATGGTGTTTTCTTTTTAATCTTCTTTTTATGTTTGATGCGCCGACCGTGGAATGTTTTTAGAAAAAAGAAAAAATCATGTAAGGCAAAAGGTCGAAACAAGTTAATTATATTGGAAGTTTTAATTTTTTAAATATAAATTACGTGTAAGTTGGTAATTATAATGGCTTTAAAGAACTTTATTTCAATTTCTAACAATTCTAACAATTTTAATAATTATTTGACTGGAAAATACATTTTATATATTCATCATGACATTTTCATTAATAGAATTTTTCAAAAAACTTTTTAGTTTATCCGTATCGGTTTTGTTTTCAAAGGGATTTATCGTTTCTTTGAAGGACGCTTTCATCCATTTTCTTTCCTCTCACGTGCACGCGTGACCTTTCGTTTGTCGTTACATTTATTGCGATGAAAAATATTCTCTCCCTTTGTTTCTAGATTCTCATTTCAATCGAGTATTAATACGCCGTTAAGAGCAAGCAGAGCGCAGAATTCTCCTTTTATGTCATTGCAGCGTGCACGTTAAAAATTATAAATATTGTCCATTTGCGAAGCAATTCGCAGAATCGTTCGACTTGGAATATTTTAATTAAGGACATCTTTCTACGTCAGAGAAATAATAAAAAGAGATAGAGTTCTCGAATCGATGTGTCCTTGATACTTCCGTTTTATCGTTTATAAATTACGCACCAAATTGACACAGTTTCCCTATTGATCGTTTCAATCCTATAAAATAATACCAACAGTTTATAAAGGAAAATATTTGAAAATTGCAATTTCCTTTTAAACATGTCTCTTGTATTTTCTAGCATTCCTTTTTTTTTCCATCGAGTTACAGTATATTTTTCTTCGATTTCCGGCAAAGAACCGAAACCTTTTTTTCTATAATTCGACCTTCCATTTAGCTCCATGGCCACAGGGAGTCTAATGGGTTCGATGAAAGGGCTAGTGCGTGACGAAAAAATGATCTTGCGAGATTGTGCTTTGCCGGAAACTGCCATCATGTTTTTGCCAACTTTTCCTTTGATGTTCACCACCTTTTCGTTGAGGCAACTTTGGTTAGTGGCTTCTTAATCAAATCGCTCGGAGGTATGTTGCTTCCCTTTGGGGAAAATGTATCCTACTTTGATAAAATTTTAATACACTCTTGCATTAATTTTGATACTTCTCTACCCTAATTTTATTTATAGTACTTTTCCTGGATCCGACTCTCTATTCTTTTTATTCCTTTCTATTTTATAATTCTGTTCTCGTTTATTTGGAGAATATAAAATGTCGCA